CAAGTTCTGTTTAAGAACAATATCCTATTTGTATCAATAAAGTTTCAAACGTTTTTGGATCGAGGTCAAAGGAACATAAAGGTCAGCACACTTGGACTGACATATGTCTTTTTTTTTAACTTCTTTCACCTTATTTTACTTTATTATTAACTCTAGATTTCTTACCAATACGTTTTCCTTTGTACATATTTGTTTGACTCATTTGGATTTGATTGTTTAGCTCATCTCCAAATGTAGTGTGTCGGAGAAAGTGGTCACCACCCAGACGCATGACGACTCTAAGAAGACCAAAGACTCAAGTCGGACACACTTTCTCATCAAGTCATTTTAGATGATTGCATAAACAGTGGGTAGGCTTATCCTGCAGGCTCACGTTTGCACGAGTTTTCCACGATCCATCCTGCACCTGTTGGAAAATGTCAACTATGGAGCAGAAACACATTTTGACATATATACACATATTGTTAGCGTTTCCTGTGGTGTCTGATGCTGCAATCTCAGCTGTGTGAGCATCATGAGTGTTTTCTTCTCCTAAGACTGAGTTCATTTAGCTCTAATCCAAAACGGAGGAAAGACTTGGATTTGATACTAAAAAACTGTGTTGTAAACATAGACAGCCTTTGAAAGATCAATTCCATAAAGCTTTTGTGTGGTGGAAGGCACTACCAAAAGACAGAGATTATCTCACCTTGTACTGTAGGCTAGGCCTACTTGATTGACATAGTTATAAAAGTCTAAATATCAAACCTCTAGCCCTTCAGCTGGATCATTTTAACGAGTAAAGTCCAGTAAAGAGACGGGACACAGAGAGACACAAGCTGTGTTGAGTTTATAAATACCCATTCCCCCTCTCTGATAGACAAAGGGAGCTAAGATAATCCATTGACATACTGATATATTGAGTTTATTTGGCAAGTTACACACTTTTGTCTGTCTTTTAGCACCGAACTGTCTAGTTTGTTGACATTTTTTTTCATCCTCCAGTTGCCATGGTGTGAGCTCTGTCATGCTTCAAAGTGGGACCAAAGCTAGCAGATGCTAGGCTAACAAAGTGAGTTCAAGTGAGTCCAAATATTACATCAAATTGTGTAAGGACAAGCTGAAAACAGACATCATTGTAAACATGGCGAGCGCTAACTATCCACCTGGTTTTACCTGCAGATCAGATTATGAACCTTATCCCTGTTTTGATCGTATTCTTATATAACATTTACATGCAGAGAAACCTTGTTATGCATATCCCTGTTTGCATGATCAATCAATCCATCTTTATTTCTACAGCACATTTAAAACAACCTTTATTGACCAAAGTGCTGTACAAGCGTAAAAAAACACAATATAAAAACAACAAGTAAAATAACTTATGGAATGAAACTCAATAAAAACACAATAAATAGGAGCATGACTAAAATTTTCAAAATGTCAAGCTCAGATTGTATTTAGATAAATACTAGTATCCTGGTTTCTGATTGTGCATCTTATCTGTGTAGGCGCCTGTGATTTATTTTTTTAAAACACAAACTGCGTCAATTTTGAAATCTCAGAAAAATGAGACCACTGTAGCTTTTTGTTTTTCAGTTCTTTCTCTCATCTAAACTTTCACTTGCATTAAATTATTTCAATATCGAAATACGAAACTCAGTTTCTGTGTTGTTCCAGAAGTAAGTTTTACCGTCCATCTATGATTTACACGCACTAACATAAAAACGGGATACTTAACAAAACAGGGTCAAGTTTAAACATCCAAGGTCTCCTTTTTTGTACTTCCTGGTCATCTGATGGTTCAACAACCTACTTTTTCATCTGCACTGTAAACCCAAATAAGTTAGGAAAACTTAAAAAAATTAAGGCAACTGATTGTTTTACTTTTTTTAAGTTTATGAACTCAAAAGTTACAAGTTTTCAGAGCTTAAATATTCGCAGTTAGTGTTACATTTACCTTTTGATTACAGGTAGATCAAATAACTTGTTAAGTCAACTCAAATATTTTCAGTTAATGCAACTTAGAATATTCATTTATCGCTCTCATTGCATTAAGTTAACACAGCTGAATACTTTCAAGTAGACAAACTTGAGAATTCCATGTCCAATAAACTCAATATTTATTAGTTGTTTTTTAAAAATCTTTTGCTTACATGCAACTCAAAACAATTGAGTTCTCCAAACTTAAAATCATTTGCCTTGAAACTTAAAAAAATTGTGGCAACTGATTGCCTTAGTTACATTAACATGAAAAAAATACATATACACCACATTTTCAGTGCATGGAACTCAAAACTTTGTCAAGGGTAAACACTTTCAAAAGTTGAGAATAGAAACTTTACATGTCACCCTCTCCCTTTTAACACAGTAATACAAATATTTGAAAGACAAATAACTAACTATAAAAAAAGAGAAATATATAATCTATATAAATAAAGAATATACAAAAAAATAATACAATTTGTTCAGAAAAGCAAAGAATCAGAAAACCTGTAGGACGGCAACTTTTAGGAACAATATAACATAAATGTCACTAATAGCTTATAAACTGTAAATCTATCACTCTTCACTTTAACGGTTCAAATGTTTAACTACCGGTATTACATTAACAAGTATAAAGGCACAGTGTGTACATCAGGGCCATCCGGTTGATAAGCTCGTTCAGCAACTTTGTAAACACAATCTTCATAAATGTCATGAATAGCTTACAAACTCCTTGAAAAACTCTACATATAACAAGCAATGTTAAAAGGTAAATCTTACATTAACAAGTACAAAGGCACAATGTGTACTTTAGGACACCTGGTTGAAAATTGTAGCAGTAAGTAAATAACTTTGAACTAGGTACATGGCCTAGCATAAAATAGAATAAATCTACAATTATAAATTCTGGTTACTTAATCCGTGAAAAAAGTTCAAATTAATCGAAAATTATCAGTTTAATTAACTCAAAAGTCAGAAAATGCTACAAGGACTCAAAATGTTTGAGTCAGTAGAATGTTTTAACATAATTTAAGTTTTCACAACTTAATTCAATTCATTATTTTGAGCAGTCGGGTTTACAGTGTGTTTGTCCTTTGCGAGCTCAGAGAACAGATAACACTGGGGTCAATGACTTAAAATAGCACCATTCAAATTCAAATTCAAAAAACTTTATTTGTCCCCGGGGGAGCAATTCAAAGGCACACAGAGCAGTAAATTAACAACAGTGCAAGTAAACGAAACATCACATGAGGGACAACGCTTTGTTTTGCAAAGTGTCACATGGGATTGTTGGTTCTTCATGTCTGCGGCTGATTTCACAAGAGCAGGCTGCAGCGCATCATCCGCTCTGCAGAGAAGCTGCCATCTCTCCACGACCTGTACACCTCCAGGACCCTGAGGCGTGCAGGTAAGATTGTGGCCGACCCCCTCTCACCCTGCACATGGACTGTTTGAGACCCTCCCCTCGGGTAAGAGGCTGCGATCCATCAGGACCAAAACCTCTCGCCACAAGAACAGTTTCTTCCCCTCTGCTGTCAGCCTCATGAACAATGTTCCTGCCCTACCCCCTCCTCCCCACATAACCCAGCAGTGGTGGTTCTAGACCACTTTTACTGAGGGGGCCAAACTGGGGCCAGTTGTTTTGTCAGAGGGAAAAATTAAACCCAGGTGAAAAAAAAACAAAGATGATCGCTTTAAAAAATATATATTATGCCAAATAATAGTCATCATTAAATACCACAACATAAAATACCATGATTTATATTTGTTTCAGTAACAGTATTTAATTCTAGATTGAGAGTTCAGTTCCTGAGGGGTGGCCACAGGGGGGACCAAGACCAGTGTTACAGGGGCACTGGCCCCTGTTGGCCCCTGCCTAGAACCGCCCATGTAACCCAGACTCTCATCAGCCCCACAGTCAGAAAACTCAAACAGATTGTATGCGCTACATTAACGCTCACTGGACTTTTAATACGGCACCTTTTGGACATTTTGTGTTTTTATAATTATAATCTATTGAAAATATTTGTAATTACTTCCCTTTTTTTTTTGCTTTATTTCATTAAACTGTTTTTGCACCAATAAACCAAGACAAATTCCTTGTATGTGTAAATGTACTTGAAATAAAATAAACCATTCTGATTCTGATTAAAAACTCCTTTAAAGCACTTTTATGTTCAGCATGCGTTTTACAATTGGAGTAGAAATAACCTCATATGAGCTGCAGGTGCAAAAAACAACACATACCTTGTTATTTGAAACAATGGGCCTGTGAATACAGGATGTCACGATGGGTGTTATCTGTATCTTTTTCTTGCTTGAATTGTGACTCATACCTGTATCAGGTGTGCGCTGTTTAAACAATGTAACCATGGATGGAAGCCCCGCCTTTTGCAAATGTTTGTGCGCAGTTATTAAGGTGTGAACACAAACGGCATGGTAGACCTTTAAACTGCAGAAATGAGCAGACAGTTAGATGATAGATTTGATTTCATTCATTCATTTTATCATGACAGTGGTGAGGCTTTTATTGTGAAAGCTGTGTTTCCGGTATAAGCTGTCTTTATGTGACTCAGTGTGATCATCAGGTGGCCGTTTCACTCACTGTGTTCAAACTGATCTGAGAGCAGCCGGAGGTCTGGTTTTCAGCGCCTCCTCCTCCTCCTCTTCCTCCAGGCAGCAGAGCATCAACACATCAACGCTTCCTCCTGTTTACTCCCCCCCTGCGACCCCTCCCCCTTTTTATATCTGCTCTCCTCACAAATCCCTCCTGTGTGCCACTGACTGGCTTGGAAAACACGCAACCATCCAGAGACTCTTCATCACTTTCTTTTTTTTTTTTTTTTACTCTGATATTGACTCGTCTGTCGGCAGGTTTTTTTTTCTCCCTGGAAAGCAACAGTCTGCTCCACTCATCAGTCCGGTTTCAGCGTCTCCCCCCCCCCCCTCCCCCGGATCTCTCCCTTTTGAAGCTTACCGGCATCTTCTTCTACTTTTTTTTTATTTTTATTTTTTACATTTTGCATTAACAGCAGCTGCAGCCTCTCATCCGCGCCTCGGCAGCATGTTGGACCCGTCTTCCAGCGAGGAGGAAGGGGATGAGATCCTGGAGGTGGAGCGCAAAGAGGTGGCGGCCCCGAAGAGCGTCGCAGGAGCCCGGCCATCACCGGGCCGCGCCGCCGCCGCCGCCTCCGCCGCCTCCGACGGCCACAGCAGCGGCGCAGGGCTCCAGCCCCGGGGGGGCCGCGGGAGTGGCGCCGGTCGACCCTCCAGCCCCAGCCCTTCGGTCGGCAGTGACAAGGAGAAAGAGGACCTGGAGAAGATGCAGAGAGAGGAAGAGGAGAAGAAAAAGAGACTCCAGCTGTATGTGTTTGTCATGCGCTGCATCGCGTATCCGTTTAACGCAAAGCAACCTACTGACATGGCCAGGAGGCAGCAGAAGGTAAGATCAGAGTGGAGAAAGAGGGGGAAACTTGAAACAAAAACTAGGTTTTAGATCCTTATTTCCTCTTGCAAAGCATCACTACGATACATGACACCAACTGTTGCTTCCACAGCCGCATCATGGAGTCCGTCTGGCCGTATTTTCAAGAATGAAAAAAAGAAAATCACTCAGACTACTAAAGGCTGTGTGTTTGTGACATACACTCATATCCAATTTATTTCAAATCATATGAGGATTAAACTTTTAAGGTTACAAGCAGCGGACCGTCTGTGATGGTTCAGGCACAGTCTGTGAGATATGGCACAACACCAGCGAGCAGGAAATTAACATTTCTTTATGAATGAAAATGTTTTCATTCCAGTTGGCTACAAGGGGGATTATGATGACAAAGCTTTTTTCGGTTGTAGAAATGGTTGACACGGTTTTAGAGACAATGAGACAGACAGGTTGGCAACACAAGGAGAGGCTAAGGGATGGAGAGAGAGAGAGAGAGATAGAGAGAGAGAGTGTGTGTTCTTCTTGTTTCCACCCATTGTAGTAGCTCTTGCATTTGAGAATTGCCTCTGTGTGTAGAAGCATCGGTGGTCCCCTCTCCTCCTGCTCTTCTCAAGCTGAGCTCTTATTAGAACAATCTATATCGCATAGGAGAGAGAGAGAGAGAGAGAGAGAGAGAGAGAGAGAGATCCTCCCCACCAACACGCTATCAGTGCCATGAGTTACATCCTCTGTCCTCTACATATCAGATTTGATGCATTATGAAGAAAATAATGCCAGGAATACCACTATAACCAACTCAAGATATATAAGATCAATGTATTGATTTTGGTATGAAACATTACATATTTTATGAGGTACTTAAGTACTCACTAACCCCTATTGATCAGTATTCACAGACAGCATGTTCCTTAAAGGCAGGGCAGGTGATTCTGATTTTCTTTTAAATGTTTGTCACATGTTCGTGATTGTAGTCATGATCAGGGACGGCTGGTATAAACGGCCTTGTAGGGCTAAGCTCTTTCTTTATCAAACTGTTTTCACACATGCTGCACTCCTGGAAAATTCTAGAGAATTCCAGAAGGACTGCACCTGAAATCCTCTTGATCTGGTTGTTCACACATGCACACACATGGAGGGGTGGTGGGGGTCTCAGGAGGCAAGACATGACATTGAAAAAGAAAGACACAGAAGTGGCAGAAGAAGCAACAGAGTCCGCCTTTATGAAGCTGTAATGAGAATATTTCTCTTTATATTAATGCTATCTGTAGGTCGACAGAATCACAATATCAACAAAAGAGTAGAGGCTGGTGTCAGCGTGACTCCATTTAATTATTTTTCACGACTTTTCAGTCATTCATGACGAAGGCAAAGTAGCAAGCAATCATCAGCCTCTTTCACACATGCACTCCTGACATTTAAAAAAAAAGGCGGGACATTTTCCAATCGCACGCTGCATGTGTGAAATCATATCACTTGTTTTTACACACATATAGTGATAGTTGCATTCCTTTAAAGAATGAAAAAAGAGAACTTGCACTTGTTGCTTAGTGAAGCATCATGTCAGTGCAACAGCTGCATGTGTGCACCTAATACCTCCTTCATAGAACGCAGCCTATAGATAAAAAACAAGTTTTAGAAGTGAATCTCATTCACTGGATTTGTCGGGTTGGCCTTTTGTTTTTAATACTTGTCAATTAGTTTAATAGTGTTGTCCTTTAGCTTACCTTATCTTTGATTGTTTAGCCCTTTCATCAGCTGTTGTATGACGTATGTAAAGAGTCATCACCATCATGTTTTACAGAAAGAACTACTACATACTTGCAAATGGATCATGGTGCACATATTTCTGTACAGGCAGAAAGTAGGAACATCAGAGTGTGAAAACATGCCGAGAAGAAAAAGGAAAAACTGGCTTGTCCCATGCCAAACATTTTTGGTACATAATCCTGATGTTTTTTTACTTTAGAGACACGATAGAGTCAGAAATCGGGGAGAGAGAGAGTGGGGAATGATGGTGCATTCATGTGGTGTCGGACACATCGGAAAAACGAGTTTCCGAGTTGTAAAATACACATGAACACCTGCTCAAGTCGGAGCAACGACTCAGAAACTCGAAAGAGAATTAGGTGCCCGACATGCCGTCAGAATCGTCATCACATAGGGGGCAACATATGTTTTGTTAAAAACATATTTTTATAATAATTCATGTATTGCCACATCAACTTTTAACTTTTAACAGTTGAATTTCACTGATCTTCTTCGTAGCATCAACGCTTTTTTGTGTGCAGTTACAATATTCAAACTTTCCGAACTTAAATCACATTGAACTTAAACACACTGAAGTCAGAAGAGCTACCTCCCGCCTCGAACACTTGGCCCCCCCGTGTACATACTGTTTATAACTGATATCGTAGTGATTTGCAGTGGACGTACATTTGTGAATGACTTCACATATAAACATATTTCTTAACAGCTGAATTAGGAGCAAAACATCACAGTGTAGATTGTCGGCCAGAGCTCAGCCTCATGTTTTCATTTTCACACAAAGGGCACCTGTGGGAGAAGATCAACAGTGCAGCGCTCAGTAAAGCTCTTGTTATTTTCTGTCTGTGTCAACATGTTATTCAAATCTCATCAGGTTACACTTTCTCCACACAGCTCATTGTCCCCATGAGATCCTCCTTTTACTCTGGGGCGTGCATGATGAAAGTCACTCTGCTTTCACGAGGGCCTTCATACAAGAAGTGTCACATTTCTATTTTTCTCTCATTTATTAAGAAAACACAGTAGAGTGAAAGTTACAGTTAGATCCATCTTGTGTTATATTGAAGTTCCTGTGATAGTTGGTACAGGCGGTAGTGTCTTAAAGGTGACATATTATACAAAATACACTTCACCATGTTGTTGTTACACTAATATGTGTCTCTAGTCTGTCTACAAATGATGAGAAAAGTCCATCCTCTCCGTCTTCTGCCTGCTCCACTTTTCAGAAAATGTGTGCTCAAACAGGCCGTTTAGAGATTTTCCCTTCATGACATCACAAATGGCAGAAGCCCCTCCCCCAGGTGGGTGACACTCCCACAGCTAGGTGTTTGTCCTGTCCTCTGAGTCTGCCTTCTCACCGTAAACAATAGGACATGGAGAGAGAAAGACCGAGTACACCCAAGCCCTTCCAGAGAGGGGGCGTGGTCAGACACAGCTCATTTACATATTTAAAGGTACAGACACAGAAACAGCCTGTTCTGAGAAGGGCTGAAATAGAGGGGAAAGAGAGAAGTATAAAACAAAACATCTGTACCTTTAGGATGGATGTTGGATTATGGACGACCAAAAAGCAATGGCGCCTGTTGCTAGGTGACCGACACAGCACTCTTGAAAGTAGCTACTTTTTGGATGCGCAGTAAGTTTGTTTTTGTCCGCTATTCACTAGCCCATTTATAGTTATTTATTCTTACATTTATTTTTCATGAAGTGTGCTGTCACATAGTCGTTACTGTTATTGGTGATAAATCATCTCTTGTGTACAAAAGTATTTATGTATCTTTTTAGGCTTTGTTAGACCATAACTTGGACAAATACTTTCCACTTGTTTGCACGGTTGTTGTTATTTTCCTCACAAAAAAGTCAAAGTCTTTGACATTTCTTAGTTGTAATATGTTTCCATTTTCATTATAAGCTAACAAATAGTAAGATAGTGCTCTTATATCCTGACCCACCAAAAATGTTTTGTCAGACGCTAACTCTACCAGAGTCCAATGTGACCTCCATGAACCGTTTACAGCCATGTCCCACGTTTCATGAATAAAATAGACATTTAAAAAAAACACATGTTTAATATGCATGAAAGGCAGAACAGTGCGTGATTGGTTTCAGGTGTCATTGTGTAAAAACTGAGTCACAGAAAAACACCTCGCTGTGAACATTTCTTCAAACACTGATCACGTGAGGCCTCTTTTTTTTTTTATGTTTGCGCAAAAACAACACGTCAGGAATAGAATTAATGACGAGGATGTTTTGTTTGTTACCTTTCAGTGTGAATGTCACAAGAATATTTTATACAGAACCTAACAGGATTTCTGAATGAAGCGAGAGTCAGTAACAGGAAGTGTCAGGGCGCTGTATCTGCGTGGCGTGGGCTTGTTGCTACAGGTGTTGTTGAAGAATTAAAAGAAGATCCAGGAGAACACTTTGATTAATATATTCATGAGTTTTAAGGTTCATCAGATCAAACCTCACAGCAGTTTATAATGGTATGACGGCACGATGACATCAGGGGACAGCTCAGCGGTGGCTGAAAGGTTGAAAATTGGACCTGAGAGCTCTCAGTGATGTTGTTACACTCATCACATGTACCAGGTGTGTGTGCTTGCAGGTTTATGAGTTGTATTTTGCAGCACTAGATGAGCTGGGTTCAGCTTGTTAAACAAATGTTTTTCATCTTATTCCTTTTGCATCAATGGGGATGCAATGGGGACAACTTTTCAAAAAGAGAGGATTTTATTTTAGTGCATCCAACAGCAGCATTAAAAATAATTATCAGTGTTGAGTGGATTTAGATTATGAGGATTGGAACTGCCAATAATGATATTTCTTAACTAACAAGGCTGGTGTGAGGAGGCGTTCAGGTGCTGTGGAAGAAATACGTAGACTATTACCCGAAATAAACGTTCTTAAACAAATTATTTAAAATATATTTCACCAAAAAATGTGAGCTCAATCAGGAGAGACGAGTGAATAAAGAAAATTATTTATCACAATGGATAACATGGAAATGTGACTTGACAGAAGGTCTTTGGCGTTTGGACTCCATGGGGCGGGTGATGTGTTTGGAGTATGTCAATTCTGAGCGTCGACAAAATAACCTCCCCTCCCCCCCATGGAGTCCAGACCCTGGTGGTGGTGAAGCTGATGACTTGTTGAGACCGAGTGCACAAATGATGAGTCTGGTTTGCATGCTCCCCGTGCAGAGGCTGCAGTCCTCACGGTGGGAAGCCCAGGCT